CTGTACCAAAAACTGTGAGGTGGCAGTGATGAGGATGGTGATGATGTGCATGAGATGCTGGGCTGGGCTGGGCTTCTAAAGAGCTGGGGAAAGAGACCTGGAGAGAGACGGGTATGAGTTGGATAAAGATGAAGGGGAGAAACTGTAATGGGGTTGGGACTACAGGTAAGTAAAGCTGGATACTCATAGGTCATCCTGGGGTAAGGAGTAAGATTTCACCTCAGGGGAGAATGCAGAACTTGACATCCTAATGTGGTGGGAAGAACCTCAAAACATTTTTCTTTACACAGTAGCCTGGCATTTTGGATTCTCTGGGGCCTCAATTAAAAAGTACAGAAGGGAAATACTACTATCTTGAGTGTATTAAAGTCCTTTTTGTGAAATAAAAGGGGGAGTGGTTAGTATCAAATCCATAAGAAAATGCATTATTAACATTTAAACTTATTTCAAAGATAATGGTTACTTGCCCTTCTTTTTGTGTTATTTTATTCTTTAGATATTCAATTTTCTAAAGGATTGGACTGAAGAAAATCAAATGTATGCTGTTATCAAATTCATCTTCTACATCGTTCAATTATTGGACATTCTATTTCTTGTCTTCTGAGTTTTAATTATAAGATTTATTGTAACACCCGTGTGATATCTACAGCCAATCATATGAATGGAGGGTACTTTAGGCAATAATATGATTTTTGGAAGGGAGGTATGATATGATTTTTTAAAGAGGTTCTTTTCATATTGTGTTTCAAACAGCAGCCACTATTTAACTCAAGCCTGGAATTTAAATATTCTATTATACTCTTTTGAGCCATCAGGGACTTTTACTCTTTTCATCCCTAAAAAGGTTATGCTAATCTTGTCTATTTTCTTTTACATGTTCAGTTCCAAGCAAGGCCAACAATAATTAATATAAATTAAGAATGCTGGCATGGAAAGCTGATCCTTATCAATTTGTCACACTGTAAATGTGCTGCACAGACTCAGAATAGATTAACTTCAAAGTCCAGTAAAATGGTCTTGAAAGAGGCCAAATATATTTAGTTAACACTCAGTACACTCAGTGAAGTCTACTGCTATGAACAGGTTGAAAGCTCCGTCATATAATTCCAAGAATGCAAATGGAATTTGTCCTAGTGCCATAAGATTTCTGAGATGCTGTAAAAGCATCACATCTTATTTAGAACTTCTGGCCTGGAAAAGACTCAGGTTTCTCTCGAAGTCAAGGTCATTACTTAAGGCCTGGCTGTCCAATATAGTAGCCACTAACTACATCTGGCTATTGATTCCTTGAGATATGAGTAGCCTGAGATGTCTTGTAAAATATACACTGGATTTCAAAGATTAATTATATAAAAGAAAGTATACCATCTCATTAATATTTTCAAATTTTTAATTTTAAAATTAATATTTAAGATTAATTACACGTTAAAATGATAATAGTTTAGATACATTGGGGTTCGATAAAATATATTATTAAGATTAATTTCACCTTGTTAGGTTTTGAAATATTGCCACTTGAAAATTTTAAGTTACAGATTCTGACTCATTTTCGTTTGGCAGTGCTGCTGTGGGCTGTATCCCAATTTTGAGGTGAACCACAAGGGGGCAGTCGAGGGTGGTGATGAGGGGCAAGGATACTGGGTCAGACAGACCTAGGTTCAATTCCCAGGTCTTCTATTTCCCCCTAAAGAAACAAATCTAAACTGTTCATATCTAAAGAGATAACTTGGGTTCTTAGAATGACCATTAAGTTCTATATTACAAAAAAGGGTACAATTTTAAAAGTTACCTGTATAATGAGAAATAAATAAAATTGTAAAATGAATCAATCAAACCCAATTTATAATTTTCTTTTATCCTCTTTTTGCCTTTGACTCATGGCTACTTAGCAGAAAAATACTAAGGAAAGCAAAAGTAAAACTTGGAGTTATCTACATGTGGATTAACTCTGCTGTTTTCTGAGCCACCCCTCTCTGCTACTGAGGGATATAGTGTAAACAGCCTTTACTGTTTGCTTAAGAAAAACAGGAAGGACCTTCCTCTCAAGAGGCAATCGTATACCATTAAATAGCTAAATATTAAGTAATTTTGGGATACAAGAGCTATCTGAGCAGCATGAGTAACGGGATATGAACAGGATAAAGTCCAAGGGCAGGAATTCAATCCTGGGTCTGCCACAGCCTAGGCCAAGGTCAGAAGAGATCTCCAAACCTTGGTTTTCTCATCTGTAAAATGGGGATGAGGATAATAATACCTCTCACAATAGACTGTTTGCAGATTAAATAATGGATATAAAAACACATCTGTAAACTGGAAAGTATTATATAAATGTTAGCTATTATGATAATTTTATTCTACTGGAAACTAAGAATAATACACACATAGATGGCCACCTTGTTCTCTGGTATAATGTGAGAGAGCAGAAGGTAAAGGAGAGTGGCTTTGTACAGACACTTAACCCCTTAGGACCCTCCTCCCCTCTTTTTCCACATCTACTTTAATCACTGAGAGGGCCCCATAAAAAAGCACTTAGAAAACTACAGTCCTATACAAATGCAAAACATGGTTGTTGGTTTGGATAATCACCAAGAGTTGATTTTACTGAAAGAGAAACAATCCTGTTAGGTATCCCTCTCACTGTGAAAAGCAGTCATTACCATGCTCCAAAAATATGTCCTTGTACTTTTAACTCACATATACTAATTCAAAATAATAGTCAGTGGCACTCCTATGGGAATTGAAAATAGAAGGTTAGAGTGTATATCTCTTGTTCAGGTCTTGACAGGATGAAATTTAAAAGAACCTCTGCCTTTTTCAAGTACAGGCACATTCAACACAATATGATAATCATAACCGCAGGATATCACTCCTAACAGGGACCCTCATTTCAAAGACAGGCGTTTAAAGCTGGCTTTTTGGGGAAAACACTCATCTATGTGATTTTTGAACTCGATATTATATAATCCATGTAACCCAAAAGACACTGACAGGCTTGTACCCAGACTGAAGTTATCTGGGCCCTAAGTAAAGATACATACAGATGTAACATGACATTAAAAATGAGTCCTTAGAACTTCACATAAAAATAAGAGCTCATAAAAATAGTAAAGTAAAACACCCTATCAACCTGTAACTTGTTATCTACAATAATTAGAACTCATTTCTCCCAAAACATTTGATTTGTTCTTGTTTCTGAAGGGAGCTTGTTAGTACTAATATCTATGTGTACATATAACATTCAAGGAGTAAACAGGAAAGTGAAGAAGGTGCATCATAAAAGTTACTGAGGCAATGAAAACAATCCTGTTAGGGAGAGGTTAGAGGAACAAAACACACCATTAGCCTCTCTAAAGTTTAGAGGCATGGAAGCCAATTCAGAAAGGGTACAGATTGTCGGCATCCTAACAAGTACAGATAAACACAGCACTACAGTCTGATTCCAACCATTTTTACCTTTTAATTTCCATTTCAACCTTTTTTTTTAAGTTTAGAAGTTAAATTCCAGAACCACCACCATTTTCACGATCAATGCCAGTACCATCACCAACATACTTAGCCTGCCTATTAATTACAATACATGAGGCAAAAGTACCCCGTCTCTGGTGATACTAATTGCACGATTAACCTTTTATAAGGCAGTGAGGGAAAAGCCAACACCAGTGATTATGCCTGGGAGGCCTTCCTAGGAGCAAGAGTTACTCCAATCATTACTAATTCCAGGTATGCCTCAGTGTGTTTCTTACCAAGAGTACAAAGTGGGCACGAGTTGTAGTTAAACCATTTAGTTACACCTTTAGGACAGACTGCTTTCCCTAGACCAGCACTTTGCCAAAAGTATATTTATTAAATATGTGGGAAACGCCTTACCAAAAAAAGAGTGGCTTGGAAAATGCTGTATTCCATAGTCCCTGTTTGAGGATTCACAGGGCGTTTAGCATATTAGAAATTTTTGCAATAAAGGAACTATTTTTTTAAAAGAACATTTACTCTTTATTTTTTGTTGTTGTTTTAAATCCTCACCTGAGGATATTTTTCCCATTGAGTCTTAGAGAGAGTGGAAGGTAGGGGGAGAGAGAGAAACATCGATGTGAGAGAAACACATATATTGGTTGCCTCCTGCTTGCACCCTGCCATCCAGGACCAGGAATTGAGCCTGCAGCTGAGGTATGTGCCCTTGACCAGAACTTAACCGGGACCCTTCAGTCCTTGGGCTGACACTCTATCCATTGAGCCAAACTAGTTAAGGCAAAAAGGAACTTTCTTTCTTTTCTTTCTTTTCTTTCTTTTCTTTCTTTTCTTTCTTTTCTTTCTTTTCTTTCTTTTCTTTCTTTTCTTTCTTTTCTTTCTTTTCTTTCTTTTCTTTCTTTTCTTTCTTTTCTTTCTTTTCTTTCTTTTCTTTCTTTTCTTTCTTTTCTTTCTTTTCTTTCTTTTCTTTCTTTTCTTTCTTTTCTTTCTTTTCTTTCTTTTCTTTCTTTCTTTCTTTCTTTCTTTCTTTCTTTCTTTCTTTCTTTCTTTCTTTCCTTCCTTCCTTCCTTCCTTCCTTCCTTCCTTCCTTCCTTCCTTCCTTCCTTCCTTCCTTCTTTCTTTCTTTCTTTCTTTCTTTCTTTCTTTCTTTCTTTCTTTCTTTTTCTCCTCTCTCTCTCTCTCTCTCTCTCTCTCTCTCTCTCTCTCTCTTTCTTTTTTTAAAGGAACTATATTTAACTTAACTCAGTATTTCCTAAATTCATTTGACCATGTAATCCCTTCCTAATCTCGCCTCTCTACAGACAATTTATGAGCAGCTCCCAGAACTAATACTTCCAGAAAGACACTCTGGAAAATACTCTTTTTGACTGATAAAGGATAGAATTAATTCAGATGAGTATTGCATCTTTCCAAAGCTTAAAATCTCTAATTATTTCACTCTTGGAAGAGAAGACAATAGCTTAACCAAGTGTTGAGAAGAAAAGGATTTCGGGAAATTACAAGGCCACCTGATCAAAGGTACACACTCTACTTACTTGAGGAGATTCCCAAGATTGAACAGAGCCCGGTTGTGCTGTGGATTTAGCTGGAGAGCCCTCTGATAGTACATCTTTGCCTCTGCTGTGTTCCTCGTCAGTGTTCCAAGGTTGTTCAGGGCACTTGCATGGCGTGGATACAGCCTAAAAAATTTTAAAATATTAAGCCATGAGTGTTCAAAAACTTCTAAGTTGGACAGTTTGCTTGTTCTACTTTCTGCCTCCCCCACCTATGCCACAACCAAAAAGAAACACTGAATTCTTCCTTTATTTTAATGGTACATCTATGCCAAATCCTTTTTAGTGCAATTTTGTTGAGATATAACTGACATGAAGCACTGTGTAAGTTTAAGGTATACAGCATAAGAATTTGACTAATATATATTGTGAAATGACTGCCACAATAAGTTTAGCTGACATATATAAAAGGCTAATAATGCAAAGTGTCCCCTTGGGAGTTCAAGCGGGAAACCGGGAGTTTAATTGCTCTCTATGATGTGTGCTGAGCACCGGGGGGAAAGGGGTGCAGAACAAAGGAAGGCCCCAGCTGGCAGCCGGCAGCCGGCAGCCTGGGAAGGGAGGCCCTGGCTGGCAGCCGGAAGATCCCAATCAGCCCTGATTGCCAGCCAGGCCTAGGGACCCTACCCGTACACAAATTTCGTGCACCAGACCTCTAGTCTCATATAAATACACACAAAAAAGAATGTTTTCATCCTTATGAAGAGGACTCTTAGGATCTACTCACTGAACAACTTTCATATGCACCAAACAGCAATGTTATTAGCTATAGTCATCATGTTGTATATTATATCCCTGGATCTCATTTATGTTATAACTGGAAGCTTGTACCTTTTCACCACCTTCATCCAATTCCCTAGCTCTGGTAATCAACCATGGATTTTGTTTTCTATGGTTTTGTTTTGTTTTATTTCAGTTTTTTAATTTACTTTAGATTTCATATATAGGTGAGCTCATACAGTACAGTAAAACTCATTTAACATTGTCAATCAGTTATGCGACTTTATAATGAAATCTATTTTACCATAGGACAATTGTTATAAACAAGATTTAATCTCCCAAGGTATTCATTAGAATTATAACTAAACCTCATTGAATGAAATTATGTTATGCAAGATCTGCTGTATTTGTCTTTCTCTGACTCACTTCACTTAGCATAGAGCTATGTTGTCACAAGTGGCAAGATTTCCTCCCTTTTTTATGACTGAGTAATATTTCACTGTGTATAAATACACACCACAACTTCCTTACACACCTTCTGTTTCCACATCTTGGTTTTGCAAATAATGCTGCTATGAATATGAGGTTGTAGATGACTCTTGGATATAGTATTCTCATTTCCTTCCAATATATTCCAACAACTGGAATTGCTGGGTCATGTGCTAGTTCGAATTTTAATTTTTTGAGGAACTTTCATTTTATTTTACATAATGGCTGCACTAATGTACATTTCCTTTCCTCTACATTTTACCAACACTTGTTATTTATTTTTTGTTGTTTTTTAATATTAGCCATTCTAGGCTTCCGATCAAGGTGGCGGCATAGGAACATGTGGTACTTGCATTCTCCCATAATCACATAAAAATTATAACAAAACTTCAGTGATGAAATGCAAGGACCTTCAACCTCTTTCCATCAAAGTTATTTAGAATCAAAGGACATAAAAAGAGCTTCCTAGACAAGAAAAAGCTAAAGGAGTTCATCGCCAACCCAGTATTACAAAAAATGTTAAAGGGCTTTCTTTTAAAAAAAGATAAAAAATATGAACAATAAAATGGCAGTAAGTATATATCTATCAACAGTCAAATCTAAAATACAAATAAATGGACAAATAGAGCAGAAACAGACTTGTAGATACAGAGAATATTGTCACAGTTGCCAGATAGGAACTTGGGGGGATGGGTGAAAGAGGTGAAGGAATTAAGAAGTATAAATTTGTAGTTACAGAATAGTCATGGGGATGTAAAGTATAGCATAGGAAATAGTTAATATTGTAATGACATATATGGTGTCAGATGGGTATGAGATTTATCAGGATAATCTTAGTAAGTTATCTAATGTATCTAAATTGTACACCTGAAACTAATATATTACATGTCAACTTTAATTGAAAAATAAAAAAATGATTTAAAAATATTAGCCATTCTAACTGATGCAAGGTTATACCTCATTGTAGTTTTGATTTTCCTTGATGATTAATAATGTTGAGCATCTTTTCATGTACCTGTTGTCCATCTGCATGTCTTCTTTGGAAAAATGTTTATTCAGAGTCTCTGCCCAATTTTTTTGTTTGTTCTTGAGTTGTATGAGAGCTTTATATTTTTTGGATGGTAAATCCTTATCAGATACATGACTTGTAAATATTTTCTCCCATTCTGAAGGTTGCCTTTTCATTTCATCGATGGTGTCCTTTGCTGTGTAGAAGCTTTTTAGTTTTGTGTAGTCCCACTTGTTCATTTTTACTAGTATTGCATTTGCTTTTGCTGTCAAATACAAAAAAATCATTGCCAAGACTGATGTCAAGGAGCTTATGTTTTCTTCTAGGAGTTTCATGGTTTCTGGTCTTATATTCCAGTTTTCAATTCATGTTGTTAATTTTGTGTATGGTGTAAAATAACGGACCAGTTTCATTCTTTTGCATGTGCTGTCCAATTTTCCCAATACCATTCATTGAAAAGACTGTCCTTCCCACAGTGTGTATTCTTTGTTCCTTTGTAGTAAATTAACTGGCCATAGATGTGTGGGTTTATTCTCTTTAATTGATCAATATATCTTATTTTAAAATAAAAGCTATCATACTGTTTTGGTTACTATAACTTTCTAATATTGTTTGAAATGAGGGATCATGATTCTTCCAGCTTTGTTTTTCTTTCTTATGCCAAATCTTAATGGTCAACTATTTTTGCAGATGTGAGCATATAAATAAGGCAGAGAAGCAAATATTAGTGGTATTAGTAAATAACTCCCAAACAATGCAAAAATAAATAGTATGTGAATCTGTCGAAAATAAATAAATTTTAGTCCTTTGGAGACTAAAATTACTTTCAACTTCCTTTAATAGAAAATCCTCTTTGCCTCAGGTGCTGAGTTTCTCTCCTGGTGGGACTACTGCCCAGCTGCCTCTACAGTGCCCACTATTTCCACAAGATGCTGGGAGTTCCTGGGTGAGAAATCTTCATAAACACCTTTGGACTGGAGCATTAGACCATCACTTTTGAGAAAAAGGATATGCATAATGTCTCCCCATAAAAATAATCTTTAACCCCCAATAACCATCTATCTTGACTTTCTTTTTCCATTTTATCTGATCTCCCCCTCTTTCCGTAATGTGCTCCCACCTGGCCTGATATGGATCTCAGAATAAAAATCCTGACAAACACTAAAAAAATTAAATAATACACAATAATGTGAAAATAACATTTCTCACGTCCAAAGCAAATGTAAGGGATTGGGTATGCATCAACAAGCCAAATTTGTGCTGATTAAAGAAGAAAGGGAATCAATTTATTTCCTTAACATGAAACTATAAAGAAGGCAATGAGCACAGATACATGACTTGGCTGTTTCTGCTACATTTAGTGGACATATTTAGCAGTCTAAGAGGCTCCATCTCTGTCACCCAGAGTACTTTGAATAAGCCTGTGGAGCTGGCTTTTAATGTAAGAAAGCCAAGGTCATGCCCAAGTAATAAAAATAGGATCTGTCCTTGTCAAGTCTCTTGACAATCAAATGCCATACTTGCCCCTCCCACCCTGTTCTGTCCATTCTAAGATCAGTTGCTATTAAAAGGCCAGAAAGACAAGTTGCATCATTTTTTTCAAATCTTTGCTTTGAAGGGGTTGCTATTAAAAGGCCAAAAAGACAAGTTGCTCTACTTTCCCCCCCAAATCGTTGCTTAACCAGAGTGTCCTGAGTTTATTTGCCTATGTCATCCTCCCTTCCCTACTCCCTCACTGACCAGCTATGAATATCCCTCAGAACTAGTATTGTTAAGAAGACATTCTGGGTAATGCTTCTCTTGACTGACAAGGAATAGAATCAATTCAAATGAATATTACACCCTCTTAAAGCTTAAAAGCCCTAATTATTCACAATGACTTTGAAGGCTATAGGGAAAGTTGTATTATAAGAGGAAGTTGGGGGAAAGAAAACATCTCAGGCCAGACAAGGGCTGTTGTTTGCTTCTCTTTGGTGACTTCTTAATTAGCAAAGACAACACCAGGGTCTCTGCTACAGCCCCTCACACCCAATCTCCCAGTTCCTGAGACATGGTGAGTGTCTGGTGCTCTCTCTGAGATGACCCTACAGGGTATCAGAGCTATGATGAGAGACAAAAATAAAATACTCTTGTATCCCCCCATTCACTCCATGCCCAGATATCTCCTGGGAAGCTTGTGTCTAGCAGTTATTTTGGAAGTGGATATGGAGAGCACATTATAGCCAGGGCTCAAATTCTTCCAAAGAAACTTTTTTTTTTATGTTGAGCAAAGCTCTGTGATTGCCAGATGATTTAAGAGTTGTCCAGTGAAGCCCTAACCGGTTTGGCTCAGTGGATAGAGCGTCGGCCTGCGGACTGAAAGGTCCCAGGTTCGATTCTGGTCAAGGGCATGTACCTTGGTTTCTGGCAACATCCCCAGTAGGGGGTGTGCAGGAGGCAGCTGATCGATGTTTCTCTCTCTCTCATCGATGTTTCTAACTCTCTATCCCTCTCCCTTCCTCTCTGTAAAAAAATCAATAAAATATATTTAAAAAAAGCGTTGTCCAGTGAACATGGTGAGAGTAATTCTCATTGTTTCCCAGATGACAAAGTGATATGTCTCTCTCTCTCTCTCTCTCTCTCTCTCTCTCTCTCTCTCTCCCTTCCTTTCTGAAATCAATAAAAAAAAATATTTTTTAAAAAGCATCCCAGGATATCTGCCTCCTCAGGAGAGGTAATTTCATAAAACGTGATTTTTCCCTTGTTTCTTTAGGTTTTGGAGCTACCAAATTAAATGCCTGAGGTGAAAGCACAAACTATGGAAAAGGACGGTCTATATTCAGTAAGAGCTTCCACAATGGGCTCACTTCTGTGTCAAAGTTCTGGTCTGCACCGCCAAGCAGCTAGCTGGCTCTCCAGCTGGTCCTCA